ACAACGAATGTAGAACTTATTCTGATTTGAACGACCATATAATTTTGCTCAAGGCAAAGTTAAAATAATTTGTTTCATTCTGCTCTGCGTCAGATAGAGTATTTTACCTTTTGAGCAACTCTGTGAAAAAGAATAATAAGTAATATGACTTTATTTTTATTATTCTTAGTCTGACATTCGTAATTTTATGTTAAATGATGCCATTAGTTTTATTATTTGAATAGAAAATAGAAAATATAATTTTATAAAGAATTGTATTGTTTTCTTTGTTGTTTTAAATTATCATGGAAGAAAATTACCAGCTGACAAAGATAATTTATTGATGATATCAACTAATACGAAGTAAACTTTTGTTTTCTTTTAAGTTGAATCTTGAATAAGAAATTGAAAGCATTGGTTAATAACGTTTTGTGTATTTGCTCAAACTTTTAAGTGTTCCTTTTACGATAAAGTGAAAAATGACGATTGCTTTTCTTTTAGCTTGTTTAAACTGCATTTAAATGAGCGAGTAGGCGTTGAAAAAAAAACGAGTAAAAAAAAAAATTTCGACAGTAAATAACAGTTATTACAAGCGTAAAATCAGTAGAATTTTATTTTTACTTGAAAATATAATCGACGACTTTTTTTGTTTTTACATTATAGGTTCTTGTGAAGATCTCAGTGTCTATTATACAGTGTGAAATATGCCATCTACAAAAGAGAATGTGTTTCGTCAAATATGGCCAAAATGTTTTATAACATTTATGGCTATTATTGAATTAATAGCTGTACTTATCCTTTTCATAACTGAAGTTGGTAATGTTGGAGTGAATTTTTGGACAACAAATGTATTTGCTGGCGGTTGGTGTGGACTTATTATGCTTATACATGTTATATTATTGTTTGCTGCGGGTAATTAAATTTTTCAAAATCAGATAAGTTTTTAATGATTCAATTTTCAATAGGATGTTGTTCGCCTAAACTGTCATCTGCTTTTCGTGCAGTTATAATTTCATTCCTTGCTATTTTAGCTTGTGCTACATTAATTGGATTCGATGCTTATTTTATGGCTCAACCTACAACATGTTTATTGACTCCATCATGTGTTGAAAATTCTGCATCCAATACTACATTTAGTTACAATTTTCGACAATGGTTTTTTACATTAATGAATAATTGGGGTCCATTTAAAACATATACAGAAAGTCAAGCTAAACTTTTCGTGCAAGCAATACAAGTAGGTATCGGTGGTTTATGCTTTATTCTTTGCATTATTTATTTAATTATTTATTACATTTGCACAAATAAATCTGAGACACAAGTAGCAGCTAGTCCACAATTGCAACAACAACAACAACAACAACAACAACAACAACAACAACAACAACAACAACAACTACAACAACTACAACAACAAC